GAAAATAAAGATTTTACATTTCACATATACGTAAAAGGGTCATTTTAAGACTATACAAAAAACAATGTGTAGGTTTACACCTTCATAGGGATTCAGAAGGGAAAATGTGTGTGTATGTGTGTGTGTGTGCGCATGTGTGTTTGAGTTTGTGAATGTATGTGTGTCAAATCAGAAACAAGGAGAAATTAGTTTGCTTCTAGAAAGAAAAGACCTTTGTATATTGATGTCACTGGGCCAGACCACTTGAAAAGTTTGTATTTTTGGCATTCCAGCAAGGGGTCACACTCAGATCAGAGCATTTCAGAGCATTCTAGCACTCACACTGTTTCCTTCCTTGGTCAGCTGACAGCCCTTCCTGCTGTTTACCATAAAAAGAATGAGAAGCAGGTGACTTAGTGAGTGCCTACTTGTGGGCAAAATAGAGACTGATAAATTTATCATAGGTAAATTTACTTTAAAAAAAAGACTATAATTCAAAAACTGCCTTTGGCGTTAGATCACTCATTTAACACATGCTTACTGAATAGCTAATGTGGTCCATGCTCTTTGTCCTGCAAATACATAGTTTTTTGCCCATGTGGAACTTCTAAACAAAGGAGTTTCATACTGGATGTCTGCACTGAAAATGATCCAATTCAACACCTAGGTCCCCACTTCTCTTGGTCTCTAATACAACTACCACAGCAATGTCTATGTAGCTCATGATTCAGCTCCCACCTTCCAGGGCTGTTAAATGACAAAGCAATCAACTGAGTCACAAAAGTTAATACAATGGCTGCAATAACAATTTGAATAACCTTATGGCAAAAGGTACTGACTTGAAGGGTCAGAAACATGTGGGCCTTAATTTTAATCACTGGTTACCAGAGCCTCCTAAGACAAATGTATTTCTCTCCCTAAGGTCCAGTTTTCTCATCTGTAAAATGAAGTTGGTGTAGCTTATCTCTAAGGTGCCTTCCTGTTCTCATGCCTTAGATTAAATTGAACCTTGGCAATCTGTTCCAATAGCCTGAAATGGTCCATTTGCTGTCATAGGCTCAGCTAAATGTGCACACAAGCATCACAGCTGTAATATGTGTTTAATGATATTTTCACTTCATAATTAGTACTATGTAGATGCTCTCAGTAGGCACAACCAAGCAGTGAATCTTCCACATGGGCATAAAACCAATGGCAGGAAGCATGGAAGGTTTTCTAAACTGGGCACACTCTTACCACTTTGTCACTAACC